TGCAGTGGCTGGATCTCCGCTCACTGCAAGCTCTGCCTCCCGGGTTCACGCCATTCTCCTGCCTCAGCCTCCCGAGTAGCTGGGACTACAGGCGCTGCCACCTCGCCTGGCTAGTTTTTTATATTTTTAGTAGAGATGAGGTTTCCCCATGTTAGCCAGGATGGTCTCGATCTCCTGACCTTGTGATCCGCCCATCTCCGCCTCCCAAAGTGCTGGGATTACAGGCTTGAGCCACCGCGCCCGGCCAACCTTCTCTTTTTATTAACGTGTTTGTTTCTTTGCAGATCTTTTATAGTTTCTACTTTGAGAAAATTTGTTTTATGTGGTACCCAGATATTATAGATCTTTTTTATTATACTTTAAGTTCTGGGATACATGTGCAGAACGTGCAGGTTTGTTACCTAGGTATACACGTTCCACAGTGGTTTGCTGCACCCATCAACCCATCACCTACATTAGGTATTTCTCTTAATGCTATCCCTCCCCTAAGCCCCAACCCCCCAACAGGCCCTGGTATGTGATGTTCCCCACCCTGTGTCCAAGTGTTCTCCTTGTTCAACTCCCACTTATGAATGAGAACATGCAGGGTTTGGTTTTCTGTTGCTGTGTTAGTTTGCTGAGAATAATGGTTTCCAGCTTCATCCATGTCCCTGCAAAAGACATGAATTCATCCTTTTTTATGGCTACATAGTATTCCATGGTGTACGTGTGCCACATTTTCTTTATCCAGTCTATCATTGATGGGCATTTGGGTTGGTTCCAAGCCTTTGCTATTGTGAATAGTGCCACGATAAACATACGTGTGTGTGTGTCTTTATAGTAGAATGATTTATAATCCTTTGGCTATATACCCAGTAATGGGATTGCTGGGTCAAATGGTATTTCTGGTTCTAGATCCTGGAGGAATCGCCACACTGTCTTCTACAATGGTTGAACTAAGCCAAACTAAGCTTCATAAATTTTATAGATTTTTAAAAACAATTTTATTTTGACTGTACGTTTAATTTTTATAAAGTAGCCTGCATATTGTTTAATTTTGTCCTCCTGAATTCTGTTTTTCTGATATAAGGATCATGCTATTTTGGTCACATTAGCCTCCTATGCCTTTGCCTATCATTTCATTTTCAATCATTCTGAAATACTTTATTTTAGCAATTTCTCTTATACACAGAATAGAGTTGGGTTTTGCTTTGAGAGTCAATTTAAAGCATGTTTCTTTTAAAAGGTTCATTAAGCTGATTTACATTTATTAACTGATGTGTTGGCCTAGGTGTGCCATATGACTTTATGTTTAATATGTAGTCTGCCATTCTCTTTCTGATCATAGGAAGTTTACATAATGCTAATATCTTAATACTTTTAGTCTCTTCTTTCTTTAGACAGTATCTTTTATTCCTTACTATATACAATGAAATTAACTTGTAAACCTTATTCTCCCTTTTCCACCATTCAATATTACTATTTTTTCAAGAATATTCTTTCTTTATCCTCTTAAGACAAGCTTAAGCTTCTATTTGACTTATTTGCTTAATATGATATTCCTTTTCTCCTAAGTGTCCCTAAGAGATAATCAGAAATAGACTTCCTACTTTCTTCCTTTTCCCATTGATTGGTTAGTTATTTGCATATTATTAGCATATATTGCATTTAGGTATTATCCTGTCACTTTTTTATTATTATTATTATACTTTAAGTTCTAGGGTACATGTGCATAACATGCAGGTTTGTTACATATGTATACTTGTACCATGTTGGTGTGCTGCACCCATCAACTCGTCATTTACATCAGGTATAACTCCCAATGCAATCCCTCCCCTCCCCCCTCCCCATGATAGGCCCCGGTGTGTGATGTTCCCCTTCCCGAGTCCAAGTGATCTCATTGTTCAGTTCCCACCTATGAGTGAGAACATGCGGTGTTTGGTTTTCTGTTCTTGCAATAGTTTGTGAGAATGATGGTTTCCAGCTGCATCCATGTCCCCACAAAGGACACAAACTCATCCTTTTTTATGGCTGCATAGTATTCCATGGTGTATATGTGCCATATTTTCTTAATCCAGTCTGTCACTGATGGACATTTGGGTTGATTCCAAGTCTTTGCTATTGTGAATAGTGCCGCAATAAACATACGTGTGCATGTGTCTTTATAGCAGCATGATTTATAATCCTTTGGGTATATACCCAGTAATGGGACGGCTGGGTCATATGGTACTTCTAGTTCTAGATCCTTGAGGAATCGCCATACTGTTTTTCATAATGGTTGAACTAGTATCCTGTCACCTTTAGCCCCACATTCTGATCCTAGTTTAGTTCTACAGTAAATCAATATTCAGTGCTTTTCACTTGTATTTTTGCTAAGCTTATTCCAATATTTTCTTGATTATATGAACTTCATCTTCTAATAGAAACCCCAGAAAGAGCCATGGGAACAATAATCCCTGAGTTTCTTTATGTTCAAACTCTGTGCTTATCGCCCTTATACAAGTACAGATTAGTTGCCATAAAATTCCTGGCTCATCTTTATATTTCTGAGTTTCTTGTAAGTGTTCTTTTATTACTTTCTGGTATAGAAAGTTGCTATGAAGACTGATGCCAACTTGATTTTTTTTCGGTGGAGGAGGAGGAACTGGTTACCTAAAGGATTCTTTGTTTATTTTGAAGGTCTAACAACTTTACTAAGATACTTTTTGGAATTTACTAAGATATATGCCTTTTCAATATGTAGACTAAAATCTTCTTTCATTTCTGGGAAGTTCATTTAAATTTTAAATCTTCTATTCTGAAGTTTACTTTTTTCTTTGGGATTCTGCTTATAATATAATCTTCTTGGTCAGTCTTCTATACCAATTTCTTTCTCTCTAACTCTTTTACCCCATTCTTTATTTTTGTTTCTTTTGCCTTTCTGATTTCTAGCCTTTATGTTCTTTATAATAATTTCTGTATTGTTCATTTAAAAAAAATCTCTGTAACTTAGTCTTCATCAAATAAGTGACTGTTGCTTCAATTTCTATCCAGACTTCTCTCAGTTCCTATTTCACATCTTCTTGTGGTCCGGGTATATTTTCTCTGAGTTTATTTATTTCCTATTTGTAGTATTCTTTCACAATTAGTTTTATGACTTTGAAAATTCTTGAAGATATATTGTATTGGAATTTTTCTCAATAGAGACAATTTCCTAGCGAGTTCTCTTATAAAAAGCTTGACTTTTCAGGGGTTCCTTTTTCATATTTCTCTATAGGTCCAGCAATTTAGTCATTAGTTATGATTCACGTTTGAACAATTTGCCTTTTTTCCGTACCAGAGATTTAGCAAGATTAGGGTAACTTGCCCAGATTCTCCATCTGAGGACTCCTTCCATTGCTACAATGATGAAGATTGCTTTATCGCCTGCCTCACCTTTCCTCTTCACCTTTGTTCGGCATGACTTTTTGCCCTGTTTCTTCAGATCTATACATAACAACTCTCCCTCAGGGTTATGTCCTCTCTTGACTGTCAGCTGAGGATTTGTAGATTCTGATACTCCCCATTACCCCCTGCCCTACTCACCTGCTTTGCTGCGTGGCCTTTACTTTCCGCATTGATGGGGCTGATTCATGGTGTTTTCTTCCACTCATTTCCAAGGTGTTGTGGTTTTTTTTTTTTTTTTTTTTAATATGAGATGTTTCTGGCTCTCAGTTTCAATGAAAGTATACATATCGGAGCTTATATTCCCCCTCCTTGTCGCTTTGCATGGTTCTCAGTGGAGACAAAAGAAAATTCGGATCTAGACAATCACTCTTTAGTCTCAAATACATAATTCAGATATAAATGGTTCCATGCACCCTTTTCTTAATGTAGTTCCCTTTGCACCCTTTTTATTCTTTCTTCAGATATGTACGTGTTGAAAAGGATACCAAAAGCTTCTGAAAGTTTTATCTGTGACTTGATCAAATTATGTTTTAGAACTTCCCGCTTTCACAGACTCCTCAAGGCGATCACCACCGGTCCACAGTTAACACTTCACTCCATTCAGCCCAAGGGTTTACACAGAGATAAAACATACAGAATGCCCTCCTTCTCTTGGTATAGATAGTCAAGGTGCATGTACAGAGAGTGAGAAGACTGATAAATGTTTGCAGACTTGAACTGAATTAAATTGACCCAAACTCCTGTTTGACTCTGTGTTTTAAAATTCTCAGCCTTGAGAAGAATAAATTCAGGAAAGGAAGGTAAGACCTAAGAAAGGAGAAAAGTAGAAACTCTAATCATTTAACATTAATTTTTCTGTAGTCAAGACACTACTACAGCTACTGTGTGGAAGACATAGCATGTTACAGAATCTACCGTTAATACGGGGGCACAAAAATGTTCAAGTGCTGATGAAAAAAATGTGTCGTCAAAATCTTGTGGAAGCTTGGTGCAGGAACAACCTTTTTCTTAGAGAAGGACCGTGAAATGTTAAGTAGTAGGGGGCATTTGTGTGGAAATGTGTGGACTTTTACCAGTCAGAGATGGAGAGAAAAGTCATCCCCCACGCAGTGGTCGTAATCATTAGGGACCTTTACTCCCTGTTGCCTAGTTTGTTCTTCCTTCTTTCATTCCCTTTCCCTGCTTCTGTGGCCCAGGCTGGCATGAGTGTGGTGATCTCGGCTCACTACCAACCTCTGCCTCCCTGGTTCATGTGATTCTCCTGCCTCAGCCTCCTGAGTGGCTGGGATTACAGGCGCCCTCTACCACACCCAGCTAATTTTTTTGTATTTTTAGTAGAGACGGGGTTTCACTGTGTTGCCCAGGCTATTCTCGAAATGCCTGACCTCAAGAGATCTGCCCACCCAGGCCTCCCAAACTGCTGGTATTTCAGGCCTGAGCCACCGCACCCGGCCTATTGCTGATATTTCTATCCATATGAAGGCCTCTTCATCAGAACAGCCCTGGCTGCTTCTCCAGTCGTACCCTGGAGTGAGTTACCTGATTGCTGAGTTTTGGCCTTCAGCTTCTCTTTTAGGACACATCCTGTTCTATTCTGTTTGAGATTCTGGAGACTATGATTTTTTTCTTTGGAGTTTCACTGACACCTCAAAAAGTAATCTGTACATAGTGGGTCTTTACTAAATAGTTGATTGTTGAATTGGTTTCCAGAAAAAATAGATAATATGAAATTGCATCTTTAGAGAATATTGAGTTTTGGGCTTGATGAATCAGAACAGAGTGGTTTGAAAGCAGGTGAATGGCTGGGAAACTCTGAATCCAACTCATATAAGATTTTAATAGAGGCAGTTATGTCTAGCCCATTAGATTGAGATTCCCTGAGGTTAAGGGTTACCACTGTCTTACTTACCTAGCACTGTGCCAGGTCCAGAGTCAGTAATTAAGATGCTTTCATTCATTCATTTTACAGATATTACCTCCTCTCAGAGTACAGCTAAAGAAAAGGAAAGTCCAGCTAAAGAAATTTGGGATGAAAAAGAGTGTAGAAAAACAAATGAGAAACGTATTTTAATTACCTCACATTGTATCTCCCACACTTTCCAGCATAGTGTATTTCAGTAAAAATTTACAGTGCACATAGTAGATGGCCAATAAAAGTACACTGTCTTTCTTTCTTCTTCCTTAAAGCTCAGAGAATAGCATGCTCACCAATCTAAAGTAAAACATTTTTACAGAACTGTAATGGGGCTCACTCAAGGTGTTTTTCCTCTGACTTCTGAGCTCCTGGAAGGAGGGAATCAGACTAGTACCTTTGAGTTCCTCCTCTGGGGACTCTCAGACCAGGCACAGCAGCAACACATCCTCTTCCTGTTGTTTCTGTGGATGTACGCGGTCACTGTGGCTGGGAACCTCCTCATTGTCCTGGCCATTGGCACTGACACACACCTCCACACCCCCATGTACTTCTTCCTTGCCAGCTTGTCGTGCACAGACATCTTTTTCACCTCCACCACCGTGCCCAAGGCCCTGGTGAACATCCAGACCCAGAGCAGGTCCATTTCCTATGCAGGGTGCTTGGCACAGCTCTACTTCTTCTTGACTTTTGGGGACATGGACATCTTTCTCCTGGCTGTAATGGCCTATGACCGCTATGTGGCCATTTGCCACCCACTCCACTATATGATGATCATGAGTCTCCACCGCTGTGCCGTCCTGGTGGCCGCCTGCTGGACCCTCACGAGTCTTGTCGCTATGACTCACACCTTCCTCATATCCCAGCTTTCCTTCTGCTCTAAGATCATTCCTGACTTCTTCTGTGATTTGGGACCGCTGATGAAGGTGTCTTGCTTTGACACCCAGGTCAATGAGCTTGTGCTCCTTTTCCTAGGGGGAACAGTCATTTTAATCCCTTTTATGCTCATCCTGGTCTCTTATATCCGCATTGTTTCAGCCATCCTCAGGGCGCCCTCTGTCCAGGGAAGGCGCAAGGCCTTCTCTACCTGCGGCTCTCACCTCGTTGTTGTTGCTCTGTTCTTCGGGACGGTGATCAGGGCGTATCTGTGCCCTTCATCCTCTTCCTCCAGCTCAGTAGAGGAGGATACAGCGGCTGCTGTCATGTACACAGTGGTGACTCCCCTGCTAAACCCCTTTATTTATAGCCTGCGGAACAAGGACATGAAGGCTGCAGTGGTTAGACTTCTCAAGGGCAGAGTCTCCTTCTCACAGGGCCAGGGCCAGTGACTTCTGCTGAGAAACTGAAGGTGTTCTCCTTCCCCTCCAGTGAGGGGCTTGACAGAAATTTCTACCTCAAAGTGTCTCATTTCTGAATCCCACATATCCCTTATCAGCACTCCCCTCCCCGAGTGCCCACTGCAAGTTTGGTATTATAAAGGGAAATCAATGTTTTGCTTTGTGCTTAATCTGTTAAGAGCTCCTTATTTGCTCATTTAACTTATTAATAATTTTTCATAAGGAGGCATGACTTTTGCAATGCTTTTAATTCTAAAAGCCTGTGTAGCCTTTTATATGCTAGTTTATTAAAACTTAATGAGGTCATGGAAAGTGGGCTAATGACAATATTTAGCAATAAAGTCAATCAGATGGCAAAGACTTTACAAATTTAAGTGAACAAGTGTGTGTTTTCCTACAAAAATAGGAAATTATACAAATACTTATTGTCTCAAGGTTATGAATAAAAAATATTTGCAGCTATTAAAACAAAGCTGTCAACGATACAGGAGTGATCTATGTTCTCTTAGTAAAAAGACTTACAAACAATTTGTAATGAGATGATATAATAAATGTAAGTTATATATTATGGTAACTAGTGTGTAGTTATTTCTTTTTTTTTTTGAGATGGAGTCTCACTCTTATTGCCCAGGCTGGAGTGCAATGGAACGATCTCAGCTCACTGCAACCTCTGCCTTCCAGGTTCAAGCGATTCTCCTGCCTCAGCCTCCCAAGTAGCTGAGATTATAGGTGCCTGCCACCACGCCTGGCTATTTTTTATATTTTTAGTAGAGACAGGGTTTTACCATGTTGGCCAGGCTGGTCTTGAACTCCTGACCTGTGGTGATCCACCCACTTCGACCTCCCAAAGTGCTGGGATTACAGGTGTGAGCCGCCACGCCCGGCCATGTGTGTTATTTCTAGCTTCTTCCTTATCTGCTTAAGTCGTGGCTGACTGTGTGTGTATCTGCCTATAGCCAATGCAGGTCTGGGTCAAAAACTGGGATGCCAGCCATCTTGAGAATTTGACAGAGAGTTGTGGACCACACATATTTTTGCTTCCTTGTGCTGAGTAGCACACCCCACCTTCCCACAAGAGGGGTAAGGCTGTCAGTGGTAGTGACTTGGTCCAGGAGGCAGAGGATACCTTCAGAAAGGAGGAGACTGTCGAGAGAAACTGAGGAGGTACATGAGATTCGTGTTCAGTGCAATCCATGCCTGTGCTACTCAGATGCATTTGCAGTTCCCCATTGTATCCAGCTCTCAACCTATGATTTGGAGCCTCTATGTGTTGTTGTTAAAATGAATTCAGCCTCATTCCTTCTCAAACAGGGTGGGTATATGCCCCATAACTCAGAATTCCCTTTAAGTTGGTGGCCAGTTAGGAGATGGTAAGATTGCATGAAAGTGTAATCAAAACAAGATACAGACCATACTACTGTTGGTTGTCCCAAAGCTGTAATTGCAGATAATTAGCTTGACTCTCTACTACCTATTTTAGATTTCCCTCATCTACGCTATCACTTTGGCAGGTCTATGTTGATGCCTGGTAGAATGAATTAGACCTTCAACTATTAGAGGTTTTTGTTATTCTGCTTTTTTGTGTGTGTGTTTTGACTAAAATGCTTAATAGCATTTATTACCATCTATGGAATTAATATGAAAGTTCATGGCATAAGCCATAAATCTTCATGGTAATCAATATCAATTATCTCAGTAAAACAAATGACTCATATCTTTTTCTGTTGGTCTACTACATGAAGAGCATGAAATGGTCAGGGGCAGTTGGTTTTATTTTAGTGGATTAATTAAAGAGATGTAAGGCTTCCACACTTCACTCGAACTGGTAAAATGATGAAAACAGTAAAATGTGATAAATTATGTATGTATGTTTAATGTAATACCTACAGCAGCCGCTAAAAAACTATACAAAGGGATATACTCAAAAACACAATAGATAAATCAAATGTTAAAGCAACTCACAAGAAGGCAGGAAAAAGAAAACAAATAGAAACAAAAAATAAAATGGCAAATTTAAATATGAACATATCATTAATTATATTACATGTAAATGGTCTAAATGCACCAATTAAAAGACAGAAGTTGGCAGAGTGGATTCGAAATAAACATTACCCAACTCTATGTTGTCCACAAGCTCACCTCAAATATTACAGCTTAGGTTGAAAGGAAAAGAATGGAGAAAGAAATATAAACATTAATGAAAAGAAAGAGATGTGGCTATATATATTTCACATAAGTGGATTTCAGAGTAAAGAAAATTACCAGTGACAGAGAGGGATATTATAATAAAGGATTCAATCCACCAAGAAGACATAGCAATCCTGAAAACGTATTCATCATACAGTTGAAATGCAAAATATGTGAGAAAAAAACTGAAAACTGAAGGAGACATAGATGAATGTTCACAATTATAGTTGAAGACTTCAAAACCCCTCTCTCAACAATGATAGAATAACTAGAAGATCAGTAAGGATATGGGATAACTCTACAACAGCAGTAACCAACAGTATCTATTTGACATTTATAGACCACCCCCTTCAATAACAGCAGAACTAACATTATTTTCAAGTGCCCCCTGAATATATACCATGATAGATCATATACTAGGGTATAAGACAAACTCCAACAAATTTAGAACAATTGAAATCATACATCATACGGAGTGTGTTCTCTGACCACAATGCAATCAGCCTAGAAATCAATAACAAGAAGAAAACCTCCAGACACTCAAAAACTAAACAACACATTTATTAATAATCCACAGGGAAGTCACAAGTATAATTTTTTAAAAAATCAAGCTGAATTAAAATGAAAATATATCAGAATTTGTGGAACGAAGCTAGAACAGTGATAAGAAGAAAATATATAGCACTGAATACATACATTAGAAAAGAGAAAAGTCTCAAATCAAGAATCTAAGTTCCTATTTAAGAAGCCTAGAAAAGAGCAAAATAAATTCAAAGCAAACAGAAGGAAGTAAATGATAGGATCAAAAATCAATGAAATTGAACATAAAAAACAATAGAGAAAAATCAATGAAGTGAAGACCCGGTTCTTTGTAAAGATGAATAACAAATCTCTAGCAAGATTGACAAAGAAAAAACAGAAAAGACAATATAAGAACTGAAATAAGGTATATCACTACAGACCCTGCAGACATACAAGAGATAGGAGGATACTATTAGGAATTCTAAACACACAATTTTGACAATGAAGATAAAGTGAACGAATTCCTCAAAAAATACAAACTACCACAACTCATCCAATGTGAAATAGATCATTTGAGTAGACTTACAGCTCTTAAGGTAATTGAAATAATAATTTCATAACACCTCAAAAGAAATATATAGGTCCAGATGGTTTCACTGGAAAACTCCATCAAAAAGAGGAATTAACACAAATTCTACATAATCTCTTCCAAAAACAGAAAAGGAGAGAAGAGATTACCCTGATGCCAAAACCAGATGAAGAGTACAGACACAGAGAACTACAGACCAATATCCTTATGAATATAAATGCAAAAATTCATAATATCAAATTCAGCAATATATAAAATAAATTAAATACCATGATCAAGTGGGGTTTATTCCAGGTATGCATGGTTGGTTCAATAGTTGAAAGCCAGTCAATCCAATCCAGCATACTAACAGCCTAAAGAAGAATTACATGATCCTACTAATTGATACAGTAAATGGATTTGACAACACTTAACACCCTTTTCATACATTTTTTAAAATAAACAAAACTTCAGAAGGAGAGGAATGAAGAGGAATTTCCTCAACTTGATAAAAAGCATCTACAAAAAACCTATGACTAACATTTATACTGTAGGTTATGAGGAAAGACTAAATTTTTACACATGAAAATTGGAGACAGATCAAGAATGTTCACTGTCATTACTCTTATTCAATAAAAAACTGGAAGTTATGTCCAGTGCAATAAGAGAAGGAAATAAATGGCATACATGCAGAAATAAATGAAATTGTCATCATTTTCAGATGACATGATTCAGAGGACATAGAAAATTCCAAGAAATGTCTTTAAAAATCTAAAAACAAAAACAAAATATAAAAAATGCTTATGTGAGTTCAGAAAGGTCACAAAATGCATGATAAACATACAAAAATCAGCTGTATATCTATACAGTAGCGATAAGCATGCAGACACCAAACGTAAAAATACAAAAGCATTGACAATCACTGAGGAAAATAAAACAGATGTAAATGTTAAAACAAAAATCTTAAAAACACATATACACGACTTTTTTTTTTTTTTTTTTTTTTTTTTCAGAGTCTCGCTCTGTTCCCCAGGCTGAAGGGCAATGGCGGGATCTCAGCTCACAGCAACCTCTGCCCCCTGGGTTCAAGCAATTCTCCTGCCTCAGTCTCCCAAGTAGCTGGGACTACAGGTGCGCACCACCGTGCCCAGCTGATTTTTGACATGTATGGGATTTTTACGTTGAAAACTACAAAACACTGCTGAAAGAAATCAAGAAGACCTAGATAAATGGAGAGACAGAATATGTTCATGAATTGTGAAATTTAACCTAGTCAAGTTGCCAATTCTCCTCAAATTGAGATTTAGGTTTAATTCAATTCCTATCAAAATTCCAGCAGGATTTTTTAAGATATAAATAGGATTATTCTAAAATGTATAAGAAAATACAGAGGGGAGGGGCCACAATGGCTGACTAGAAACAGCTGCAGTCAGAGGCTCCCACTTAGAAGAACGAAAATGGCAGCTGAGGTATCCAGGTTCTCTCACTGGGACTGACTAGGCAGTTGGCATAACCCATGGGGCGTGAGGAAAAGCAGGGTGGTGCGATGGCCCACCTGGGAGCCACACAGGGCAAGAGAAGCTCCCACCCCCAGCCAAGGGAGGTGGGGAGTGATGGTGCTACCCTGCCCAGGGAACCACACTTTTCCCCCGGATCCATGCAACCCACAGATCAGGAGATTCCCTTTGGGAGTCCAAGCACAGAGCTGTGCAGACTCTCAGCGGCCACTCAGCTGGAGATTGCCTAAGACTATCGAGTTTCGGGGGGAGGGGGGGCTGCCGTCATCAGGGCAGCTGGTGGCTGCCTAAGACTGAGCTCCCTCTCTGCGCGGTGGCTCAAGCCTGTAATCCCAGCACTTTGGGAGGCCGAGGTGGGTGGATGACCTGAGGT